CTTTGAATATATTATTTTTATTTTGTTATTGAAATTTATTTCTTATTTCACTACGTCACAATATGCAATGTAATAAAACTTTTTTTGAAACATTACACAATTCACCGCTCTATTTCATATACAGTGACCATGACGTCATCTGAAATAAGATAATAGGGTAAATCCCCAAGTCAGCCCAACAGTCACCAAATCATCCCGGTTTACAGTATTAATAATCTAAAAGAATTCCGTCTACAGTACAAATCTCTTTAAATTAAATAATATTATTTTGATAGGCATTTATAGAATAGCACGAAGGGTCAAGCGGTCAGATGTAGTTGAGAGCCTCATTGTGGAAGAGAAAGACATGAAATTGTTGGATCCGACAGAATCCGACGCCAGTAAACTCGTCACGGTCCACTGTAAGTCAAAATGTGTAGCAATAAAATTGCATTTCCTGGCAAGCGACATTTGACCGCAATTTCTCTACATCAGATTTCTGTTGTACGTGTGAATATACATCAAATGAAATGCGGGTTATGTAATTTAACTAAATATCGTTGTAATAGCAAAAAGGGTCCATTGTGGCTACAGCTAAAAACATTTTTGGAGTTTTCTCAAAATGCTTGATCTACAATAATTCGTTATGTGAAACGCAGTAGCGATTAGCTAACCCTTTCTAGAAAGCTTTATTATTCAATTTACAAACAATTATTAATTTATTTTATTTTTATTAATTGATTTATAAACTCCGTATTTGTTCCATTTCTGAACACTTGAAAATTGTAAAATGTTGACGGTGATCAGATACTCGACTCAGTAATTTGTAAGCGATTTCTTCCCCGAACGTGTTGAGAGCAAAACAGTATCGTTTCATGTTACATTATTGCAATGCCAGTATTAATATTTTTCAGTTAATTTTTTCAACGTAAAATAAGTGAAAAAAAGTTCTATTGTCGTAGTGATCGTTACTGGTGCCGTTATCGTATTTAGAATCAAAGGTTGAATAGTAACAATTTAAATGATTAGCACTAATGATATACAAGCTGTTATGTTACTTATTTACTTGGTACATCAGTTCAGAAGACAGTTAATGATCGGTTCCGGTAGTTGAGAATAAATTCCTTGCTTTCTAATCAAGTGTGAGAATACTTAAGAATCAAAGAAACAGGACCGTATTCTTCTAAATTACCGTTTGAATTCGTAGTACAATACACTACACAGTACAAACTGCTTCTCTACTACCTCACCGGTGATTCTGAAAACCCTTTTTCTAAATGTTTATCACAAAGTGTTATTCGTTTCTGACAAACGACTGATGAAAATCGTGCGCTTTGTTGATCATTGTTGTCTAAAAAGGACAATTCACTGATGTAACATGACAATGAACTGTAAGGCGTAGACTCAGCCTCGTCCAGCAACTTCAGAGAATGGAAGTGGAAACAGAGATAACATCTAAGGTACAGACACTGACTTATTTTGATTTGAATCATGAAAGGGGGAATAAAAGCGGCACACACATTAACGTATTGTTTCGGTTCGAGGTGTGATTTTTCTGCTGAAAACACTCACCCAAACTCATCGCTTTGTCGATGTCCCGTTATCTTAATTCGTCACATTGCCAGTCTTAAATTATATTTAGGATATTTACTCCATTCATAACTTTGTGGTGTATTTTCACCATTTAACAAATATTAATTATTTCGTAACTCTCTCTTCCACAAATGTAGTTCAGTAACCTGAAGTCAGAATAGCCGAAATACTCCGTAAGCTACCGAATGTAGCCGAAGCCATAAAACACGTTAATTCACATTCTACTATTTCCCTTCATAAATCTCGTACGTTTATTTTATTAATTAAAAGGCCTTACTGTAATAAATTCCGATTAATGCTGAGAGGTAAATGGTATGTAAATTTTTAAAGTTAAATGTAAAAATGGCGCCTTCGTTGTCTTTCATTCAGAAAAAGAATGGAAGAACCGACATAGGTGTCTCAGGGCATCAATTGATGTTCCTACAGTGCGGCAGATCCTGCAGTGCCTCTGCCTAGGGTTCGAGTCCCGACGGTGACAGGATTTTCGACACTATCTGCAGCCGAAGACCCACTAGAATGCCTGAGCAGTACCCTATCAAAAGGGCCACGGACCACGCGCATCGTTCCTTCCCATTCCTTGACCTATTCTCGCTCCTTACAGACACACTTACATGCACTACACTACCACACTTGTTGGGGGAGCAGCCGGTAGCTTAAAGCTTGTCCCGGCAGGGGCGGTGCCTCGCTGTTGGGAGATACCTATTTGGGAAGAAACCCTAAAGCCGCCGGGTAATTCGGTTCCGGATGTCGTTATCTAGCGGAGGAAGATCACTACCACCTCCCGCTATAAAAACAAGCACTACGCCAAAGCGACTAATGACCTTAGCCGTTGTCGAACCTAGAATCACTAATCAATCTATCAAAGAATGTAAGTGACTTCCTGGAAGCAATGGTCAGTTTTTAAGATACTATATTTACTACGAAATGTCGGACGAAAATATCTCCCCCCCTCTCTCTCTCTCTCTCTTTCTCTCTCTCTTTCTCTCTTTCTCTCTCTCTCCATCTCTGCTCTCTCTCTCCATCTCTTCTCTCTCTCTCCATCTCTTCTCTCTCTCTCCATCTCGTCTCTCTCTCTCCATCTCGTCTCTCTCTCCATCTCGTCTCTCTCTCTCTCCATCTCTTCTCTCTCTCTCCATCTCTTCTCTCTCTCTCTCCATCTCTTCTCTCTCTTTCCATCTCTTGTCTCTCTCTCTTTCCATCTCTTGTCTCTCTCTCACACACACGTACACCTCGAATCACATATACGTGTGCATGTCCACGAGATGACATGTGTTTGAATTCAGTAACAATTTCGACATCGCATTGCGTCGTAAATCAACAGAAAGCAAGATCAATGATACAAAGTTAGAAGGCAAACGGGCAACGCAAAGGAACCGCCCGCCACTGACGCGGCTTCTCAAGAGGCTGAAGGTATAAAATAAAAAACGCCTAAGACATCTGCTGAGTCACACTTATCATGCCCTCTCACAGTGACTTATTTACTCTCTCCACCGCACGTCGGTGGAAGCGCAAACATCGGAGTGTTGAAACTGCTCAGGTGAGAGTTTTGGGGCGACATAGAGGAAGTCGGGCGAACAGTGGACCAGGTTGCGGGGTAAGACAAAGATTCAGAGAATCGGCCGAACTGTAAGGCGACCAGGGGACAACGAGAGGACTGCAAGAAGTTGGGAGCGGAAGGAGAGGGAAGTGGAGTCCGGAGAGAAGAAGGGAGGGGAATGGGCGGATGGGGGAAGGGGCAGCCTGAAATAACAAGGGAAGGACGGATCAGCGAGTTGTCGGCGTAAACGGTGTTACGAGCTAAGGGGAACACAACGGGGTGAAGGGGAGTCTATGGTGAGAAAGGGGAAGAGCGAGAAGGCGGAGAGAAGCTGAGAGGTCAGTAGAAACAAGTGGAGAGGGTGGGAATTCGAGCAGGCGCCAAAGATCGGAGGGTGGGAGGGGAGGGAAGGGAGACAGGTGGGTGGGGCAGGGTGGGAAGACAGGGAGGGAGGTTGGGGTAAGCGGGGGAAGGCAGACGGGGAGAAGGCGGAGAGGGCGGGAGTGGGTGAAGGTGGAGTGAGTGCGAGAGTTTAGGGAAAGTGGCGAATATGGAGAGCGGGAGAGCGACGAAGGCTGAGTGGAGCGTGTATACGTCGATAGGGCCTGGAAGCAAGAAAGGTCGGCAACAGCGGAGAGGAGGGAGGGCGGCGAAGGAGGAGGTGGGAAGCGCGGAGAGCGTGGGAAGGGGGGAGGTAAGAGAAGGGGAGGAAGATGCAAAGAGGGCGGCCAAGCGTAGAGGGCTGGGAGGTACAAGGGGGGTGAGGACGTGGAGGGCGTGGAGGGCGTGGAGAGGCGTGGAGGGCGGTGGAGGCGTGGAGGGCGTGGAGAGGTGAGGGCGGTGGAGGGCGGGGAGGGACTGGAAGGCGCAGAGGGGCGACAACAGGCGGAAGACGGCGAGACGGCAGCACGGTTCCCCGGCGTGTACGTCGTCTATATTTTGCGGGCGCCGTCTGAAGCATGACGCTGAAAACATATGGCGGCTGCGGACGGTGGGCCGGGCCGGGGAGCGGGGACAGGAGCCCGGCCGCGGCGTTCTTTGGTGGCCACGGCATGCAATAATGGTTGATTTACGAGGCAATTGAGGCGGCACGGGCGGCTCAGCAGAGGGCTGGCTCGCTGTTCGAAGCGCTT